TTTTGCCCCTTAACAATGGGCTTCCACCCACGCCGGTAGATGTGAGTGTTAGGCTCGGGCTACCTTAATTGGTGAAAACATTGTCCTAATGGTGTCAAGGTGGCACTGCATTATAAGCACATCATCATTCATTTCAGACACAAGACAGAAGGAAACTGTGTCATCATCAGCACAAATCTGGGAGCGCTTCATACAGCCCCTATGTGAGTGCTTCAGTAGCCAAGCAAATTAACCATTTAGATGGGAAATGAAATGGGATCAATAAATAATGAGTCAAAAATGTCACGTGTGTCACTCAATCATCTGCTTTTCACACCGATATAGCAGCTTATCAGAAGCTGCAAATTACCCACAGCACCGGCTATGAATATGATTAGCATTCTCATTTTCCCCAAGAAAATTCTAATAAATACAGTTGTATTATATCAGCACTTATTTCACAGCATTTCCCTGTGCAAATGTAGCAATCATCTGGACCGCATCAAAGCCAACCACATATCGTAATTTCCTTAAATTTAAAGCAGAAAACACATTGTGACAAAATAGATCTGCTCCGGTGTGATCTCATGAAGTAGCTGAAGTAGCAATATGTGCAAACAGAGCACAGGTCATTTCACTGCAAATTACTAATATATGTTTCAATCCTATTCTCTGCCGGTGCATTAAACTGTTGGCAATAAAACGTGCCGCCTTCCTCTGACCTTTGATGAACAGGTGAACATTCTATAAAAGCAGCCGACGAGGTAAATTTTATGGCATTATCATGAATTTGACAGTCCGTGACACACAGCTCATCTGAAGAGCAGTGATTATATGAGTTGGACTCTGCCGGTTACTAAGCAGTCATGGACTATATGTCAGAGTTGCCTGCATACTTCAATTTCTGCTCGCTCTTTATTCATTAAATTGTGAAAGAAAAGTTGGTGATTTAGAGCTTCACAGCTATCTGTTCACATATTTAGCAATGCTGCTGTTACACTGTGTGAAGATTATCAAGTAGGTGAATATTGGACATCAGAGCCAGAAAAACAGGTTACTCGTGATTTTTATCAGCGGTAAACAATATAAATGTTCCCAGCAAACATGGTTGAAACCCCAGCATCAATCTTCCCACTCAAAAGTGACGCTAAAAACTGAACCGTGAACAGACGGTTTACGAGGTCAACGAGGTTAACTCAGATTCTCTCTTACAAAGAGAGAAAGAAGAAATTTTGTTTTGTTGCTTTGTTTCAAACACTGTCTGGTATTTACATGGTCGTGAACAGACGTCCACACAACATCTTCTTTCTCTGCGTTCACAAATTAGTGATACCAGAACCTGTTTCTTAAAAAAAAAACACTTTCAAGATATTTATGATTTCTCCATCGAACACATGTTTGATTTCTTGCATGAACTCACTGGACTTTGTCAAATATCACCTCTCTGTCGTGATGTTAGCATCATAAACTCAGGAATGCTACAACTCGAAATGAATCATTAGGATAAGTGATAATACAGTTTAAGCCACCACTGAGGTGTTTTATTATTATTCTTTTTTAGCAAGAAACGTTTTAAAAATGTTTATTTATGTTCAGTGTAGTCGATAATGAGACAGCAGCATTTCTATAACACAAACTTTCGCTTGCTAGAAAGTCCAACAAGGATGTGAAGGCAGTGTTGTAGACACACCTTGAACCCACAACCTAACATCCCCTGGTCGACTTTCATTTTTGAACTCGTTTTCAACCATGACTAGACATCGAGAAAAGACCGTCAACTCTGAATTCAGGAATTTTAATCAAATAAACATCAGCACAACAACATCAGAAAACCCCTGTTTGCTTCATTTCCCTGAATGAGTCATGTTCACTTTCCATAGTTGCTCAAAATTTAAAACTGGCCGCTCGCACCCGACCTGCCCCGCCCTGCAATTTGAGAACCAGTGCTCTAACAGCTCCTGCACACTTGGCACAGTTTTCACCCTCTCTTTACAGTACGCAATACGTTCTCCCTCATTTGTGCTGCCATTTGGGGATGGCAAATGATGCATGTCTCTAAAACAGATCACAACAAGAAGTCACGTTACCTCATCATTGCATATGCTGACCTTAAATTTAAATCAGAAATAGTAAACTAAAGAAAATGTAACTTTAAAAACTGGATTTTCAAAATTCTGTCACTTGAAGCAAATACAGAAGAGAGAATCTTTCATGTGCATTTTTTTATGTTCTAATATGCCATTTGGTGTTTACTCTAATCCAAAAGGCTGAGCACCAGAGTGACTGAACAGATTTTTTGACATGGGTGGCCTTGGTGGAGCTGACTGAGTTGGGGGGATTTAGGGGAAAAAAAAGTCTGAATGTAGATTGGGGGACAAGAAGCTCCTCAACAGGACTGCGCTGTCAGGTGACAAATGGTGCCCCGGGCCAGTCGAGTGCCAAGAATGGCCTCTTAATCAATCAGAGGTCAGCGTGCAGGCTGAGTCCAGACTGCCTCCACCCCGAGTGGCAGCCATCTGATGGAACACTTAATGCCAAGCCAAGAAGCACACGGCTCTTTCTTCTGGTCAGAATCACTGTTGCTGCCATGCTCATCACTTCAGAAAACATGAGAGCTCGGTGCAGAGACATCTTTGTCCTTCAGTTTATGGTTTATTATTACAACAGAAGAAAGTTGAAATAGTTGAATTAAAGATTTAATCCTTAAACTTTCATTGTGTACCTATTATTTTAAACATGTCACATTCATGTTCTAATTTTTTATTTTGAAGGTCCTGGAGAACAATCGCATGTTGCTTTAAAAGATTGGCCTCAGCTCCTGCTTAACCCTGCAGCCTCTATCCTTGTCACATTGCCATCTGTACCAGTGTTTCAGGCAGTAAATAAGGGCATGGAGGGTAGTGCACCTCTCTTGTAGGCCCAGCCTAAGGCCAGGGGTGCACATTCTCCTCTGCACCCTAAGGCCCACCCACCAACACTCCCTGAGGCTGACCTACACACTGCAAGGTCCCCAAGGGAACATGTCTAAATTTAAGAGGAAGGCAGGCCTTCTGTCTTCTGTCCACCCCACCCACGTCCTACACATATTACTACTCTCTCCCACCATCCATCTCTCCATCTTCCATCAAACAGACCATTCATCTGACCATTCCCACTATCAATCCAACCCAAACATGCTCCCAAAATTTAAAGATCTTTGTCATTCACCCATCTGCTCCACTTTCATTGCTGACAGTGTCATTGTGCTTCCATTAAATCATTCATTCTCCAGTGGCTCAAAGATGGGAATTGTCTCATCCAAAACAATAGTAAGAGCCAAGATTTAGTAGGCCAATCAAAGTTTTAATGCTCCTTTTTCTAACTCAGATGGAAAGAGTCATAAAGCCTGCAAGAAATTTTTTTAAAAATCTGACTGCGTTGGTGGAAATTAATCTGAATTTGCAGAAATTAAAGAAACTATGAGAAAAAGCTGATTGTGATGGCTAACAGTCTCGCATCAAAAGCCATCGAATTCTCCTGAAATGGTGTCACATAGCCATTACACTATCAATAAAACTGCCAATTCACAGGAAAAAGGACCAATCAATAGGCCCACCAATCACCACACACCGACAAATCCATATATCTATTCATCCACCATGACACTTAAGACCTGCATCTGGCAACCCTTAGACACATTGATCAATCCATCTTGTGCCTCTCTCACGTAGATCCTCGTGCTGATTCAGTCCCCACAGGACACGGGGACTGCTAACAGAAGTAACCCAGAGCAGAAATTGAGGAGTGAGAGACAAGAAGAAGGGGAATGAAAGTCACGTAAATCACAAATGTGTTTCAGCTGAAATAACACTGATTAGACTGGGCAAAAACTGCAGAACGCCTGAAGACAAAAAAGGAAAGGAAAAAAAATTCCATGGAATCAAGGTCCCAATACTGAGGAACAATATTTCTACAGAAACAGGTAGAGCGAGTGAGAGACAAGCATGGACAAAGACACACAACGAGAGCCAAAGTGCAGGATCGGGCATATCAGAAGTGCAAAGTAGTGTTTCCTACACAAGTATTGAGATGCAGATCTAACTTTTGCAACATAATAGGGCCTGTCAGGACTCTGTGTGTGTGTGTGTATGTGGGTGAGGATGTTCATTTGGAAATGATCCTCACACATCTGCCAATCTTCTGTGCGGGTTTGCAAACCTGGCCGGAATGACTTCTCACATGTATGTCAAGTTTGGGGAAGACGCTCACGATGATATTTGCATATGCATATACAGAAAAGATACTTTAACATCACTACAGAGTTGCTGTGCATGCAGCAAGGTTCGCTGTTTATTTTTCCTACAAGAATAATGCTCATGCAAATCTTGAACTGGCTACGTTGCATGCATTTGCACAGGAGTAAAACTTTTATGCTACTTTGCAAAAATATTGTAATCTTTAATGATTGAAAAAAAAACATGAGTTTCACCATGCCCTGCTGAATTAAGCACAGATTTGAGCTAAATCTCTTCCTCAAATCCAAACATGGCTAAAGCTGTGTTTTACTAAGCAGTCCACTTGCCACAACTCAGCTGTAAAGATTTTAACTAGAAGCTCTTGCTGACTTGGTGTTGGGGGATGGGGTTTTAACTGAAGAGGGAAGGGGGGCGAATATGGGGTCACACAGGAGGAGAAATGGAAGAGGGAGGAGGGTCGCTGTTTTCTTTCTCTATGCTTTAGGAAAAGAAAGGAAGGAAGCCCTAGCAAGGAAGAGAAGCCCGAACCAAGTGAGGAGAGATGGATGATTGGGGGAGGGACTGGAGGAAGAGCGCTGTTCATTGGTAGGGCTCGGGTCGAATTACACCATTTGCCGTGCATTAGTTTGTTTTTCTCCCAGCCTGGAGAAGTTGATTCACTGAGACGCGCAGAATCTTTTTTGGGAGATTACGGCAACGCGAAAGGATACAAAATAATCATTTCAGATGAGGTGAGTTCCTTGCAGCTATGTGGACACAGGCTTCTTTGTTGCGCCCGTATTTTGCAGTGAAAGTCGAAGGGGGGGGGGAGAAAAAACTAGAGAGGAGAAGTCTTTGCTGGGAAACAAAATATTTCTTCTGACCACGTCGCTATGCTGCTCTGCAAAACCGATGGTTGCAGGACAGAAATAGTTGAGGTCCGGACTATTTTTACTAGTGCTTTCGTGCAGCACACTATTCATTCATTCCTTACAGGGCTGGCAAAATGAATCCGTCCAGCTCCAAAGCTTTCCACTCCCAGTAAAGGGGGGAAATTGTAGTTGTTACAGTTCCTCCTCCGATCTTTTAAAACTGTCTGTGAAACCGGTGATTTCAAACTTCTGCGATCAATATCTGTATTTACTTATTTATTTATTAAAGAAGAAGAATCACAGAGTATAGTTTTGCGTAAATCCCACATGCGCTATCTCGCTCTCCGCGCACCCTCTGTTGTTTTAGATCAGTTAAGTCAGAGAGAGGCGTAGTAAGGATATCGCATCGTTAATGTTTATATCTTTTCCCTCTGGTTTCCAAAGTTAATCGTAGTGAAAAAGGGGCTGGTGTAACAGTGTATGAGGGAGGAGGAGGAGGGGGGCTGGTGCGGTCGTGGCAGAGCTTTGAAGCTCACTTATCAGAGCGCAGGGGCCCGGGGACGGAGAGAGACTCATCAGAGGCAAGAGTCACAATAACGTGTGGCGAGCGGAGCTGAAATCTGTGCGCAACTGGATAAAAGAGAAAAGTGGGGTCCGGATGGAGCGCAAAATAACAGGAATATTACATGCTGGGGGTTTTCTCGCAAATGGATTACCAAAGGAATATGACATTCTGCTGGACTGCCCCGTTCATGTGTGAAATCGGATACTTGAGGTAGGTGTGCCCAGTGTTTTGTTTTTGCAATTAAACCATGGTTAAAGCGCATCTTTTTTCGTTTTTTAGAAAAAAATACGTGTTTATTGTTTTATAAATGTTGGTATTAATATTATTGGACTGAATAAAGGGCATAGCCTATTGCTACTGGCCAATCTATCCGGAGCGCTATACTTAGTCACTATAATCTATAAAAGAGTATCAAGTACGTTTCCGAGTAAAACGTCCCGCTTATCGAATGCACGAGTGCAAATGGGTTCCTGATTATAATCATGCTGATAGAAATATAATTGGAGCCACGCAAACGTTTTCCTTTAACCTTTCGTGCAGGCGAGTGTCCCTGTTTTTATTACAATTTCAGTCCCAATAACAAAGCGTTTCTAGTCTGAACTGTTAAACTGTTCAGAGCAGGAATAAAAGTGTTTTCTGGCATTTTGACTTTACAAAAAAAACAACTTGGGATCAAAGGCAATCTGCGCAGACGAGCGAAAACAAGCGGCTGTTAAACAATTAAGAGGCAAACTGGACGAGCAGTGGAAAATGAAGGTCGTTTGCTGATGTCTTTAAAACATATAATACATCCCCTGATCCATTACTAAAGTCACATATTGGATAATAAATTGCAAAAGCGCTCGTAACCTTTCTGGAGGCAGAGTGGCACGGAAGCCCTGCCCTGTGAATGGATTAAGTGCTATGGAGGCAGTTAAACGAAGCCCCATCACTGTTGTCACTTCACAGATGTCCCCCGCGTCTTTGTTGTCTTTTGTATGAGTTGTGCATGTGGACTAAAAGGGGTCTGAAATGATTTACCACGGACCAAACTTGAATGCCTTTATGCTCCAGTCCATATAATGCATGCATTCGAGCCCGGGCTGCTGCGTGGACTGTGTGCGTAAAACAGGAGAAGAGGATCCAAAGGCAAAACTTGAAAAATAGAAACTGAAACGGAGGAAAAATGATGAAAGCAATGGAGTCGAGGTAGTTCTTTTGTTTCATAAGGAGCTATCCAGGCGTGATGAGTTTAATTATTTGTGTCTTAAGGTTTAGGAACATGTGGCTAAGTTAAGTAAAAGAGCAAAAGGGGCTTATTTTGTAGTTGTTGCCATACTAACCTGCTCTACTCATATATATTTTTTTATTGGCAGAAGTGTTCACTCATTTTTAACTATGGTTGGTTTGTGGTCAAAATGTTGCTGCTATAAATTCTCCCAAAGGCTTTAAGTTTTTATAGAAATAAGGGATAAAGGAGGATGTTTGTATTTCCCTGGAAACTTTCAGCTGGCTGAACCATGTCTCAGAGATCAGAGAGCTCGGCCTAACTGCTAAAATGACAAACTTGAGATATCGGCAAGGCCATCAGACTGTGGCCGGGTCAGACATCAGAACCAAGCCATGGGTTTGTTGACAGCACAGCTGGCTTGTGTGTCTCACTTCGCTTCACTTTCCAGAGGGTTAGAACTCAGTGACCAGAACGATCACCGTTGACCTCCTCTACAGCCGACCGTAACCCTGGAACAACCACCATTAAACCATACAGTGATCAGTATTAACCCTTTGTAGCCTTATAGGTTCCTAAACTGCTGTTCACAAATCAAATTGTTCCATACTTAATTGGCTGAGAGATGAAAGTTAGACCCTATGTGACGCGTTCAGAGTGGGCACGTTTTTATACTTTGCTTTGTTCGCTCTTAGTCGCTTTCACAGCCTCGAAAAAGCTCTTCGGAACATGGGTCCATGGACCGGGGGTGGGGCTCTATTGTGTTGACTTGCCCAGAGCCCCTTTTGTTTCTTGGTCACACCTGCAGCACAGGCTCTTTGTGCTCTTTAATAGTAGAACTACTGCTGAGAACAGCCTTTCTCCTGTTTCACTCCTCCTCTCGCCAAGGTAGAGAACAAAAGGGAGGGAAGCACGGTTTAGGGTGGCACAGCCTTCTCCTTCAGCCAGATCTCTGAAGCAACAAGTCCAACCAAGCCCCTCAGAAGGGATCCTTAGGTACACAGCCTGTGATTAGGGGGTGCTTGTTATTACTCAAGTGGGGGAAAGGAGTATTAATCATTTGTGGGCATGTCTGGGAGCTGCTCTAATCATCTGGCTGGCTCAATCTCCTGTGTGGCTGCATCTTGATTACTTTCCAAGGGCCACAGTTGAGTTTTAACAGCCGTGTCACTGGACGCATGTGGGTTTGAAACAGACAGTCATACATGGACAGGTGATGGTGCAGAAATACAGGTTAGGTCACGATAGGAGCCAATCATTAGAAAACTGACACGGCAAAGATGCATTACATGATATATTGTTAGGTAATCAACTATGGCATGATATTAAAGTTATACGAAGGAGAAAAACACCCTTGTAAATACAAAAATCACTGTGGGTAATAAGTGTGTGTGTGTTTTCATCAGGATTCAAATTTATGGCGTCCAGTTAGCCAAATAGCTCTCCTTCCATCTCTGTCCACCATTTTCTGTCTGTAAGTTTCTTCGCCACCATGAGTCAGTTCACTTAATTTTACTTCAACCTCATTCATTGATAAGTGCCAACACAAGGAGTCATGAAGTAGTAACTCTGGAAGGTCAATTCGCCATTCAAAGTGGCCGCAATTGCCAACAGCGCCTCGATAAATCAGTCACAAGAGGAATCAAAGCCGTTTATAGCAGCACAAAATTTTGTTCCACTCCAGTTTAGACAAACATAGTTAAATAATTTAACTTTGTAAAAAAATAAAATAAAAAAAGAACTCCCGGGTCATCCGATTTCCCGTTGTGCAAGATGACAAGTCAGGCAGCCTCAAGCAGCAGCAGCAGCAGCCTTTTGTTCTGCTGGGATTACATCCGCCCTTCACATTCACACGCAATTACAAAATCCTCACGCACTACTGTTGTTTGCTATCCTTTTACTATCCCCAAATTCTCCCAATAGGACCTCCCTGCAAAAACACATTCATCCAGTGCTGCAATTGAGGAGATTTTATGGCTTACGTACTGTATGCCAACCAAAGCACAGCTAAGAGGAGGGTATGTGTTAATCTGTCATTTTAAGCTAAAGGAGCACTAAAGCGTCCCCTGTAACTACCAGAATTGGGCTACAGACCCCTACACCCACCATCAGCAGAAATAGCAGTCCACTTGATTCCCCCCCCCCCTCCTCCTCCCCCCATGTCTAACACCATGGGTTTGAGCCAAAAACATCAGCAGGGAAAGTGCGTGGTTGTAGGACACTGCAAAGCCTGTAATAACAGAGGTAGAGTAAGGCAAGACTGAATGGCAGTGAGATGCGTGACAAGCCCAGCGTCTCCAGGCTTGTTGAGGCCTATATGTGTGCATGCACACACACATGCACACGCAGGAGGGCAGGAGCCAGAGAGCGTAAAGGAATAGTCAATAGAAAACATGCTGGGCTCGCTAGAGATTGAGAAGTAATTTTAGATCACTGACCTCTGAATGTCTTCTGTTTCTGTTTTACATTAAAGTTTCTGAGGGAAGCCTTTGCCTTCCACAGCAAGGCTATTACCATGCAAGGAATCATGGGAGATTGGCACTGAGCTTTTCGCCCTTCCTTAGAGTGTTTTTTTCCCCTTCTTTTCATCTGAATTGTTTAGTGGGGGAGAATGGTACAGGGGCAAAAGTGGCATGAATGTGAGTGCTTCTGAAGAGCTCGTGTTAAGCAGGACAAAATTCTGACAGGTAAGGAAACCATTTACCTGTGAATACAGCCAGGTTTTTGGCCACAGGCACAGCCTGCAGTGTGTACGATAGCGCTATAGAATTGAAACACGGAGCTCGGTTTATTTACTTTCACAGGGCCTCTGTTTTTCAGCCGTCGAGTATTTGGTATCTATTTCTGTCTCCGGCTTCTAGAAATTCAGCTATTTATTGCCTGCGTTTTAACGCAGCAGATTTCCTGGTGTGAGAGGCGTCTGAATGAGGAAGTAAAAAAAGAAAGAAAAAAAAAAAAAAGCTGTGATGCTTTTAAGGATTTTCAGAGTCGCGTCATCAGTCCTCGTTAGGATCAAGTTTCTTACATTTGCTGCTCTGCACAGATCAGGGAAACTGCATCCATAGATCTGTGGATGGGTTCTGCCCAGTGATTCATTGGTGACTACAGTAGAATTACTGCCTTCTTTAACATTATTGATGTTTGTAGTTATAGAGAGAGCAAACAACCCTTTTGGTCCTCATAAAATCTTCCCTTTTCCCCCTTTTTTTTGCCAAAACATCAAACCCGTAATTTAACCACTAAGTGGACTAATTGAGATTAAGCGTTGTCTCATCCATGCCTCACATTATCCAGTCATAATGACATTGCTCTTAAAAGGCCTCAGTATCCCACAGAGTCCTGAATAGCCATGATTACACACTGGTGATGATTAAAACATGTCGGCATTACCCCGATTCCATCTCACCACTACTTTCATTCTTTTTAGTGACATGCCATCACACAGTAGCTGTTTAGACCAAAATTTGATTATTAATGCCTGGAAAAAAAAATTAAACACGCACACACACAGCATACTTTACATCAACATGCTGGCACAAAGGTTGTGCAACATATTAGTTGTGTCATCTACATTCTAACAAAAAGATGACATGCTGATTGTTGCTGTCAGGTAAATACCTCGCGGCGGCTCATTTTCTACTTGACAGCCATGTTTGTTTATAATTAATTCACTTAACTGCCATATGCATTGTAGTTTATTTAGTGTTTTTGAACTAAGCTTCTGGACATTTTTTCATAAGCTTGAGGCTCTTCAAAAAAATATCAAGATGAAAGTGGCTCGATTTATAGTTACAAAGCACTCGTGGCTACAGTGAATATGGCGAAGTCCATGGATTGCCTTCTCTGGCTGCTGATCTGCCATGTTTCCTGTGTGGATCAATCAAAGCACTAATGGCTTGGCAGGCAGGGCTCACAGACAGCACTGGAGCAGGTGTGCTTTGGGGCTAATTGAAAAATGAGTCAATATTGTGTGTGTGTGTGTGTGTGCGCGCGCGCACATGTGTGCGTTCACGTGCAACACACACATCAGTCTTTGCATTACACCATTTGAAAGAGTGATTACGTATGTGCAGTCGCGTGTGTGCGCATCCAAGTGCGCTCCTGGCTAATCCATCCCTCTGCCTGTGTGACGTCTCCCAGTAAATTGTTTATATCCGTTCAGGCTTTGCCTGCATGAATAATTTGTTTGCCTTATAAATATTTGAATGTACACCGATCATTAATATGCACAGACACAGTCTGTCTCTAAAGTACTCCTTCAGACACTAACATACACACTAAACCCCTGCCACTCCCACAATAAATTATTGCCAAAGTAACTGCTGGTGTATCATGTCTACAATCAGATCCTGTACAAGTTTTTATCCACAAAAATTACTACAATGTCAAAACAGCTGTACATGAGTAGGAGCTCATAATACAAGTATGAGTGAATCACTGCGCTGCAATAAAGCACACCGACCCCAAGGAAAAGCTCGAGCAATAACCACAACTAGAGCGCTGATAGAGGTGTGCTAAGGTTAGAGCAGAGGCTACACTTGTGATGATGATGAAGTTGCAATGTGCTGATTAGTGTTGAGCCTGGCCCAGTACAAACCAATCAGAGCACAGATGTACTGAGACAGCAGGCCTGCCACGTTTCTAACAGAGTCGACTTCCGCTCTTTGCAACACACACCGAGACACCCCACCGGTCAGTTGGCTGACCTTCCCTCAGACAACAGATGCAGGAAAAGGTAGAGGGGAAGTGCCAAGCGCTGCCACTGAGAGCTCAGTCATCAATAAACACGAGAGCGTTTTACTGTATGTTTGCATCACAAAAGCTTGAAAAAGAGACAGTTGTTGCTCCGAGTTTAATAAAGGGTTTGGACTCGGTTCGCGTAGTTCACAGCGGTACAAAAGATTATATTTAGCACATGTCAAGTAACGAGAGAATTTCATGGGTTTTTTTTGTGTGCGTTTCCAGGTAACATCTCCACCAGTGTGAAACAGGAAGTGTCGTCTGTGAGCAGACATGGGCCAGAAAGCTGCGCTTCTGCTCAGTGAGCTGCTGCTGCTGTTACTGACAGTCTCGCGCACTCTCCTCGCAGTCAGCTTCCCGGAGGACATCGTACCCCTCGATGTCGTTGACGCGCACTGTGAGTACACCCGTAAATGAGCTCAACAGAGACCGGGTTGAGATTATAATTACTTGAATGTCACTCAAAAATTATAAATAAATCCCCATGTAAACCTTTTACTTGCTCCACTCAGAATATTGTTACAAAAACTTAAGACAAACACTAGCGCCTCCTCCCTCTCATCGGGTCCATACTTTAGACGCTAGCATCCCATATCCACCGTAATAAAATCAATCTGCTGTGATGTAATGGAATAACAGAGTGGTATGCTGGCACAGGCAGCCGTTATCGAACACACAAAAAACATTACAGTGACGCACAGGTCTGATTGGAGAGACTGTAGTTGAGTCTACGTACACATAATTCCCATATCTACCTATATGTTTAATCAGAACAGGGTGGTTTATCAGCGTATCACTGTTTGCTTTTACCATTAGCCTCCCGGTAATAGCACATGTTTGTTGTCACTGCAGTTTCACGGCGGTACCCTGTATTCAGAGGCAGGCCCTCTGGCAACGAGTCCCAGCATCGCCTTGACTTTCAGCTGATGACCACGATACAGGACACTCTGTTCATCGCTGGCAGGTAAATCCAACACACACACACACACATACACACACCTCTCCCCCTCACCAATATACTCAGTCACTCCTTGGCAGGTAAACAGTGGCATAAAGGGGTGGGATGCGGGGAGGGTGAGCTCTTAGCGTTATTGGATCTCTGGCTTCTGGTCGTGCATCTGATGTATATGGCCGGTATTGATCCAGTAAAGGCGTCTATCTTCCCGGCCTGATGCGCTGTCAGGGATTTCTTGGCATCTTTACATTTCTTTTTGCTATTTATGGGCAGTGGGATTAATCTGACCACTAGCACTACTGTAATATTGTAGCAGGAAATCACTTTGACATCTAACAGTATAACACCTTCCCCCTCTGGAGCCCCTGTAATCACCACCACATGTATCGGTGTTGTCAGATGGTATGCTAGAAATGTGCGTGTTTTTACTGAAAGTGAAGTGAAATTGTGTTGTGTATTTGTTGATAAGAATGTAAAATTTCACGATTATTCATTAATTTATTCTATAGTAAATGAGGCCTTCTAATGATAAGGACACAAAATCTTCTCATAATTGGGAGAATAATAAAATACTTTGATTAATGTACACACACAAAGACCCAGTAAGTAAGCATATATTCCTTGTTGTCACTGAGCTGCATGTTTTGTTGTTCGTCCACAGAGATCAGGTGTACCTAGTCAGCCTGAGAGAATCCTACAGGAATGAGATCATTCCTTACCGGGTAAGATTCTCACCACAAGGGTTTCATAGAAAATACTGAACCATTCATCACAGAGTGGACAGGTGGTGAAATGAGAGAGTGGAAAAAGTGCGTGCCTGCTTGTTATGTCGTACGCATGTGTCTGATATCTCATGTTGTTGTTCTTTTTCTTTTTCTTTTTTACAGAAACTAACATGGCGATCGGGCCAAGCTGACAGAGAGATGTGTGCTGTGAAGGGAAAACACAGAGTAAGTAGGGGGGGAAATCATTAACCTGCACACTTTTTGTTTGGTCACCCATGACATGGACAGAAAGTTAAACTGCGAACCTCTAAAAACACAATATAATGTTGTGCATTTTCCTCCAGGACGAGTGCCACAACTTCATCAAAGTTCTGGTTCCAAGAAATGATGACCTGGTGTTCATCTGTGGTACTAATGGCTTCAACCCAATGTGCAGATACTACAGGGTCAGTATTCAGGGTCAGAGCCTGTGATTCATTAGTCAAAGCTCATGCAGGCTGTGTACAACAGCATGCAGTGGTCCCTCGTTTGTTGCAGGAGTTACGTTCTAAAAACAACCTGCGATAGGTGAAATCTGCGAAGTAGCCAACTTTATTTTTTGCAATTATTATAGATGCTTTAAGGCTGTAAAACCCCCCACAACACCTTTACACCCTTTTCTCAGACAGGCATGAACATTTTCACACTTTTTCTCTCTTGTTTAAACACTCTCAGTTCAAACCTTCGTAGAAAAATAAATCCAGTATTATCAAATGAAGCCAAAGGCACCCGCGGTCGCCTTTGACGGTGCAAAACGTTTCGTCGATATTGTTGTTCGTTTTGGAGAAAAATTACAAACATACAGTGCAGCACTTCAGAGTCACACTGGTATCGATCGAAGACTTATGTAAATTTGACCAGCTGAATGCATTCTGTACTGTACAGGAGACACGGCACGAGATTGATTGACAGTCTACAGCCAATCAGGACGCAGAACACTGTGTAGTAAAAAAGGGAAAAAAAATGCAAAATTGTACCAAAAAAAATCTGCGAAACACCGAGGCTGTGAAAGGTGAACCACGTTAAAGGGAGGGACCACTGTACACCAAATGTGGACTGTTACTAGATAAACAGCAATGTTTTACTTCCTGTACTATCTTTTTTTTTAAAAGAAATTTGACAAGATTCCTTTCAGTGATTTATGTGTGCACCGGTGCTTCTGTGTGTGATTGTTTGCACCGTGCCTCTTGAGAAAGCTCTTTTTAATGTGTGGGTGATCGCTCCGTTCCCTTCAGCTGGATAACCTAGAGTTTGATGGGGAAGAGATCAATGGACTGGCACGGTGCCCATTTGACTCCAAGCAAACCAACGTTGCCCTTTTCGCTGGTAAGGGTCAAGCACACACCCGCCCACGCACGCAGTTCATCTCGCCAAAGAACAACTAATGTGTTCCTACTTACGCTCTCATTATCACCCCTGTGTCTTTGCCACGGTAAAACTGCGCCTGCAGCGCTAGCAACTCGGCCAATTAAGCTCTATAAAAGAAGACAAAACAACAAAGGATCCAAGAGCAGCGCATCCTACTTTTTGGTGACTGTGTTTCCTTCTTGTTTTTGTTCTTAGAAGGGAAGCTGTATTCTGCAACTGTAGCTGACTTCCAGGCCAGCGATTCTGTCATCTATCGGAGTATGGGTGATGGATCAGCCTTGAGAACCATCAAGTATGACTCCAAATGGCTGAAAGGTAATCCTTGTTTCTCTCTCCTCTTACTTCACTTGAGATACATGTGTCTACCTGCCAGCTAGCTCGATGCTCATGGTGCCTTTGCGTGGTATATGTATGTGCGCTGGCTGTCAGGGTTGTTTTTGGAGGGATAGAGAGCTCCCCTGCCTTGCCAAGCTCCAGGAGGATATGGCCTGTTCTCTCACAGGCAATCTAGGTCACCCCCAGTCATATACAGCCTTGTACAAATCCCTGAAATATTCAACATGCACAGTGGTGGTGACAGTGCAGAAATACACTTCAACTCTCTGCCTCTGTCTCTCTTTCAGAACCTCATTTCCTGCATGCTGCAGAGTATGGGAATTATGTGTACTTTTTCTACCGGGAGATCGCGGTGGAGCACAGCAATCTGGGAAAAGTAAGACCGTGCACCTGCCGTTTATAATGCATCACATATTCCACACAGACAGCATACGCATGCCTTTATCCAAGACTACAGCTTTACGCCTCCCTCAGTGCCTGCGTTTCTGCCACAAATGGACCCGGTGGTAATGGGGGCCCATTCAGGCGCTGACACTACATGAAATTAGAATACCCGAGAAATTTCACGACAAGTGTTTGGTAGGGATGTTCTACTAACGTAAAACCATTACACAGTGGAGAGGATTTGTCTCACAGAGATTGCACGCTTTTGTGTACGCCTCTCCGTGTGAGGCACACACACGCAGATGGCATTATAAATGTCCCATGTTTGAAGCCAACCTCAGATTTGACCATGCCTCATCCTGAGCTGGCCGGGCCACAGGAAGCCGGCATCCTCCATCAGCCACCAGCTTATGAATATTTCAACCCAACTAATGCTGGGGTGACACCTGGGCTCTGATGGAGGTTTGCACTGGTAAATAATTAAAGCTATCCAAGCCAACTGCTTTATCGTACTTGATTTATGCTTTAAGCCTTGGCAGTATGTGCAGTCAACACACTTACACATGGCCCAGCTTTAAGTCAGTATAGGCCCATTGCATGTGTTTTTTTTTTCTTTCTTTTTTTAAATATTTGCTCCAGTCAGAGTGAACAAGTTAAATATGAGAGAGTCTGTTTGTTAAGTCATCTGTGCTGAGTTGCTACAGGATGGGGAGATGCATTATTCAGCATGTTGAAGTGTTTTTAGTGGCATTCACTGAGGTGCCCTCCTCATCCACACGCCTCAGTCCTCTCTGGGGGAAAAAAAACAACAACAAAAAAACCTCTGCACCTCACAGGTTGTGTATTCCCGCGTGGCCCGAATCTGTAAAAATGACGTGGGTGGGTCACAGAGGGTGCTGGAGAAGCACTGGACCTCTTTCGTGAAGGCGAGGCTGAACTGCTCCGTGCCGGGGGAGTCCTTCTTCTACTTTGATGTGCTCCAGTCCATCACCGACATCATCGACATCAACGGGGTTCCCTCTGTGGTGGGTGTGTTCACCACGCAGATGAACAGGTGAGCCGTAGCTGCTGCTGCTGCGGGATGAATTAAGAGTTCAAACAAACAGGGGATTTTATCTAGATAATTTTTCCTTTTCTGCAGTATTCCAGGGTCAGCGGTGTGTGCCTTCTCCATGGCTGATATAGAAAAAGTATTCTTGGGCCGGTTCAAGGAGCAGAAGACTCCTGACTCCGTGTGGACTCCGTTCCCAGAGGAGAAGTTACCCAAACCTCGGTAACGGTTCATCTTTTCTCTTCCTCAGAATAATATCCAAATTCTGAACCTTGCTAAGCATGTGGAACCAAGAAACTAAACTAAGAGGCACCAAAGATGTTTTTTTAGATTTTAAACGTGGCACATCTTCGAGCAGATGTGGTGCTGGACTCGTCAGCTGTTTACCGCCTGTCATTTTTCACCTTGTCTTAACCCTTCTTTGTCCAGGTTAAACCCAGTGAAATGAAATCTTTTGCACCAGGTTATTAGTTTTGACCCAGCACACACATTTACCATCTGCTGACGATTAAATAATTAATTTAGTATAATTAGATGCGCTGCATATTTAACCTGTTTACAGTCAGCGCCTATATTTGCAGCCCTGCCCTGCGTACAAAACACAGAGTCCACGAAGCACGTAATTACCCCAGTAAATCATTTATGGGAGGATAACCATGCATATGTATATTTTATGCCTCCAGCTGAGGTCTTTTTGTGATCCTAATAAGCACCTGCTACTCTTCCCCCACCCTCTCGTGGCACTTTTCCATCCATCTCAGAACACATTATTATTACTCCCTGGTGTGCGATCATATAGGCTGATCTTTGACCTTTTGCCCTCCGTGCAATGGCACTCTCTATCCTAGACCCGGGAGCTGTGCAGGTCACGGTCCATCTGCGTCCTTTAAGAGCTCCGTCGAGTTCCCGGACGATACCCTGCAGTTCATCAAGTCCCACCCCCTCATGGACACAGCTGTGCCTTCTATAGGAGATGAGCCTTGGTTCACCAAGACACGGGTCAGGTAAACACATAAAGAGCATATATCTTACATTTGAAACTTGTGATTTCAGATCATACCTTTATTGGAAGGATAACCAAGTAAAGTCTTCCTAAAAATAAAAAGTAATCAAAAATCTTGCCAAGATCTTTCATGACCCAGATCTATATGATAGCTGAACATTTGTTGTGAATCTGTTGTTATTTTTCAAATGTGGATGAAGTAAGTCCTTCAGTGGAAAATTGGTAAATAGTATCCATAGATGACACAAAGATATAAAACAGGCCTTACCTATGTTGATCAGTGAGCATAAGGGATTTGTGTATTCAAATAGTCTTTCCTATTTTGCATGAAATAACCCCTGCTGTGAGTAACACATGCCTTCTGCTACGTATAAAGGTACAGGCTGACAGCGCTGGCTGTGGACAGTGAAGCAGGACCCCACAAGAACTACACAGTGGTGTTCATCGGGGCTGAGTCGGGGGTCGTCCTCAAGGTTTTAGCCAAGACCTCCACCGTGTCTCTGAATGACAGCCTGCTCCTGGAGGAAATAGACATCTTCAACAGGGCCAAGTAGGCACACATGCGCTTTTCACCCTCTCTCTGCCTGCTCCCTCTTCTCTTTTCCTCTTTTCCTCCCTTTCTGTCTTTTGGCTGTGGAGTCAGCAACTCTTACAGTGATGATTCCTGGCACAGATGGCAGTGTCTGTCAGCTCTGTGCTCACGTGCATGTGTGTGTGTGTTTTTGTGTTTTTTGAGTCTGGTGTGTGTGTGATTTGTGGAAGCTAAAATGCACACTGCCAGGAGTCAGGGGTTAAATTCTTGTTAAACTGTAAGAAGAAGCTTCTGTGAGTCGTCAACCTAACAAGTGATTAAATCTTCCGAGACTGAAACAGGAGACAGACGGATCTGATAGACCTCTGATTAGGTTTCTCTCCACCCTGTCCAGGTGCCTGTCTAACCGTGAGGATGACAAGCGTGTCCTCTCGCTGCATGTGGACAAAGACGCACACAGCCTTTATGTCGCCTTTTCAAGCTGTGTCATCCGTATTCCCCTGAGCCGCTGTGAAAGGCATTCCTCCTGCCACAAGTAAGTGATGCACTGCTGCACACGTAGGAGGTTAAATAAAAATGTCCTTTGCACAGCCAGTCATAGCTTTATTGTTTTGTTCTTCGGCTAAATGTCATAAAAGCAACGATAACAGCTTTACCTTGTGCCTTGTGGTTAATGTTCAGTCAGTCACAAGTGATTATAGCGTTCTTTCCAGAATGATTAAACCTGGCGTTCTGATGTGTGTGTTTGTGTGTGTGTTTGTGTACGTTTTTGCCATACCAGGTCCTGCATTGCATCAAGGGATCCTTATTGTGGCTGGAAGCCTCACGGAGCCTGTGAGAGGATACAGCCGGGTGTTTTGTGAGTTCACAGCCCACCTGCAATATGAAGCGCAAATATTACAGATGAGAAAATGACAAGAATATTTATTTATTTTATTTGTTGTTGCTGCTATTTTGGATTAATATCTGTTTCTATCTTATGTCTTTCCCTCTCTCTCTTTTCAGGGCTGGATATGAGCAGGATGTTGAATTTGGAAACACGGCCCACCTCGGAGACTGTCAAGGTATCGATCTCATCTCCATGCCATGCTATTTGTCCTCAGACATATACAAACACACACATGCAGCTATACACACACACACTGTACACAAACTCATCTCTGCATACACCATGAGCCTGCACACTCACATCAGTAACCACTCCAGTAACTTGCCCCTACATTAGTCTTACGTGCAGTATTAACACACATATCTACATAGAGTACATGGCCACCTGTAACTAATACCGCCCGTGAGGCGGAAACATGGACATGTACAATTGAGGGTCATGTTCAGCCGGTGCAAATGACAGAGGTCTTGTGATATGTCACGGCTAGAAAATGTACATTGACTGATTTCACTGCACCTGTCCCTTCATATGTATCAGCTAAACATGACCCATGGCTGAACCACAGTATTGATCAGAACCAGAGTGCCTCCAGTAAGAAAATGACACTGCTGGCCGAGTGCTTAATATACTTCCTGTTAAAATCTAAACTAATCTGCACTCTTAGTGTCTCTCAGGAGTTTTATTTTTCTTTTCTTTTAATTTTCAGAGTTTCCTTATAATGATTTCTTGTCCCTTTTAATTCTTTTAGCATTTTTGGGCACTACTTCAGCGCCAGATTACAAATCATTTGGCGATCCTACCTCTGGTTAGTTTGATCTTTTACTCAAATGGTTTCTTTCCTTGAGTTCAGCATCTCCTGCCTTTTTTCTTTCAACCCCTGCTTCCCTTCATCTTTTCGTATCAAACACCTCTCGAATGCTAATATTCCCTGTGTTCATTTTCATCGCCATCAATAACCGAACCACCACGCAACATCAGCACTTTAACTGGGCGACGATTGACTTCCTCCTTTTCACCCATCACCTCCTGTTCTGATCCATCCTCCCTCTTGCATGCCTACTCCACTATACCTTGGCAACCTTCCTGTTGTGTACCAACCCCTCTTTTAACCATCACTTATTTCCTTTTTAAATTGTGTTCAAAATGTACATTTATTGGTATTTGAAAACACAATCATTTAAACTGTGATAAAGTTTACTCTTTTGTTTTTCCATACACTCTACCGATGCCTACTAACTGGGATGATAACAGTATGCTTTTCACTCGTCTGCACAGTTTAACAGTTTGTTTGTCACCACAGACATGGAGTTTTCATCAGCGCCAGTCACTATCCAGCCCAGTGGGCCCATACTCCCCCCAGTACTCATACCCAGTCAGAGCCCCAGCTCTGGGCCTGATCCAGAGCTCTACGGCTCACGCTTTGTGCTGCAGGATGACCCAGCCACCTCCCGTTCTTTAGACTCTATCCCAGGGGGCCAAGAGGGTAAGGCCCACAGGGAGGCAGCCAGCATGCTGCATTGAGCCTGATCTGATAGCTGCCAGGAAATGTCACTAAGCCACGCTAATGTGAAAGTACACATATATGCAAACACACTGTGGTTGCTAATACGGTTTTCCCTTAGATAGCATGGCAGATATTAGTCTTTTCATTAAACATTTATATTATGATTAATATTTTATTTTCATAATAACTTTTTTCTTTACTTAAATGGTAATTTCCTTCATCTTCTTTCTTTCTTTTACGCAACACTGCTCTAATGTAGTTTCTTTAAAAGCTCTTGTTAGGAATGGCCTCTTGCAGGTTAGACTTTCTAACCCTAGTTCTAGTAATAGATTACCCTGGCTGGTAAATCATTGACTGGACCAGCTCTGCCACATCATGGCCGCACGGTGGATGACTAACTCTTTCAATGTCTGTGGTTACTAACAAACTTTCTGTAGAGCAGCAGCTATCCGAACACCTGGATGGAAAACACTTTCCTCTGATCAATTTCCTGCTGGTTGATCTCCTGCGGGAAGAGATTGACTTGGCTCTCTATCTGAGATAAGAGCGCACTCCTAACCCTTTAGTGCTGGATGCATGACAAAGTGTCTTGGAATGTGGGACAAGGCCACACTTTGAGTCTTCCCGGCTGAACTAACATAACATTTCCTCTTAAAGAAGGACAAATTGGGTGTGGGTACATAACAGCTTCTTCACCATATTTCTTCTTCATCTTAGATTAGGATGAATGTAACAATATTTGTGGTTAACTACGTTGTATGGTGGAGGTTGAAAAGCAGAAGCTTAAGCATGGCTGTGTTCACACAATACTATATCATTTCTGCTGTGGGTACACGTCACGGAGTCCTTTCGCCAGAGGGTTAACTGATGCCTCACTGTTTTGTAGGTGTGTGGGATATACAAGCTGGTGAGACCAACCAGATGGTCCACATGAACATCCTGATCACCTGCGTGTTTGCTGCTTTTCTCATGGGTGCCCTACTGGCAGGTTTAATTGTGTTCTGCTACCGAGACTCATTCCTCCGTAAACCAAGACATGTCCACAAGGATGCAGAGTCTGCACCATCTTGCTCTGATTCCACTGGAAGCTTTGTCAAGCTCAATGGCCTCTTCGATAGCCCTGTAAAGGTACAGCCAAACTACAAACTAAAAAGCAGCTTCAATCATACCGCTTTTGTGGAGAAGAGTCATTGAACAAGATGTGAAACTGTCTAATCTTACTCTTGGTTTTATTATCACATTCTTAGGAGTACCAAACCAACAATGATTCTCCGAAGTTGTACACCAATCTTCTCAGCACTGGCAAAGACCTGAACGCGCCCAACGGTGACACTAAAACCGTCATCTTGCGGGATGGATGTCAGCCCCCCGAGTTGGCTGCTCTGCCCACACCAGAGTCTACCCCTGTGCTTCAGCAGAAAGGTCTACAGCCCATTAAAAACCAGTGGGAGAGGGCACATGGGAAGGTCGGTGGGTCCCGTAAGGAGTCCAACTCATCTGCCAAGAGTCCTCAGTTCCTTCCTTCTTCTCCTACTCCTGCTAACTCTAGCTCCCACCACCCTCACCTCGCCCTGGGACACTCGCACATCCCAAGCGCCGTGGTCTTGCCCAACGCTACACATGACCACCCCACCCATGACCATGACAATGGGGAAGATACACTACCACATTCATCTGAAAAGAAGCTTAAGAACCCAGATTCTAAAGGAACTAAGAAAGACCAGAAGAGGTCTGTGGATGCCAGAAATACCCTAAATGACCTTTTAAAACACCTCAATGACTCTGTGGCCAACCCCAAGGCCATTCTTCAAGAGGGATCAGTACCCCGCCCGAGGCAGCACCTCACACTCGAGCCCATGGAGGAACTGACTGAAATACCCCCCAAGGTGCCCAGTCGAGAAGCTTCCTTGTACTCTCCCTCCTCCTCCCTGCCGAGGCACAGCCCCACCAAGAGGGTTGATGTGCCCATGCCCACTACACCAACGGGAAGCCTGAGCATGGGGGGCACCCTGGAGAGGCAAAGAGGGGGGTACCAACTCCAGCGGAGTGCATCTCACAGGCACTCCTTATCCACTTCACCAAATGGGGTAACCATGGGGGTGTCTGTGTCTCGCCAACACAGTATGAACAGGGGGGGTTACATGCCTCCGACACCCCCCTCCAGACTTGATTCACATGGTGGAGTTATGGCACCAGGAATGCATTCAGCCCACCCACCCTCAGTATCCAGACAGAGCAGCTACAGTGGGCATGGCTCACTTCCTCGCACCGGGCTTAAACGGACCCCTTCAATAAAGCCAGATGTGCCGCCTAAACCCAATGGGTTTTCACCACAGACTCCACAAATGCGAGTAGTCAACAAGTACAGCTATTAAAAGACCATGGACACTTCAAAGTGAGTTCTTGGCCTTGACTGTAGAGCTTTGAGCCCTGAGGGCTTGAGGGAGGGAGCACAGATGGGATAAGGCCTAGTGTGTGTTTGTGTATCAACTTGAGGTGTATTTCCCCTTTAAATGATATGCACATTCACTCACACTAAAACCAGAAAGTCATACATATGGCCAAAGATACTCGTTGGGGCCTCTTTGCAACCCTGCAAGCCAACCTCCCTCCCTTGCCACAGTAGCCACAGGATATGATCAGTGGACAGTGGTGAATCTGCTGCTGCCCAGTGTATCTGGGCTTAGGTCTCACCCGTTACCACATTTGGAGCGAGGTTTAGGACACCAGCAGAGGCCACGATGGTGTATGTGGGACCAGGTCAAAAAAAACAGTGGAATACTTGAAGAATGGGTCTCATTTGTCACTCCCCTTGAGCACTGTCTTCCCACTAATGTGAAGTGAACAGAGAGAAGCCAGAGGCCATAGCTTTGGCTGTAAGATGGCATAAGGCAGATGGAGGGGAAGATCAAAACGTATAGCGCGTGTGTTGTTTTAAGATACACGTGGCCGTAAACAGCTGATCAAAACTGTAAGAAAAGAGAAAGTGTGTGTGTGTGTGTGT